GCCAATACAAAGTTCGCATCATATATTACAGGGTAGGCCATGTCAATATGAAGGCCATTCCATCCACATTCATATTGCAAGGCGAAACCTGCCTTCCACAAACCATCCTTGGCAATAAAAAAAGACCTTTAAGTTTTAAGTACTTCTGTCTCTCCACTTCCAAGATCAACATATGCAGACCTCAGTGAAACAGTATTCACTTTTAAAGACAACTATGTGAATTGCAGAAAATTGGCCAATTTTTTCTTGCTCTCCAATAACACTAGAACTCAGGTTCATGCAATGAAACTGATTGTCAGGAAATTCAGGACAGATGAAAAAAAGCACTTCCTCACAGAATGCATAATTCAGAGAAAGATTAGAGGGGGCATTCGACCAGTCTGCTGAAGATGTCTTACATGAGGGCTGATCCTCCCTTAACTGTCACCACCAACAAAGCTGCATTGACTGAAAGGAGATGGAGAAGCAGGGCCATTTCATTAGCCATGTTGAAATATCTAACTTTTCCTCTTCCCTCCTCATTTCTTTTTCTTTGTGTGCCATGACTTTTCAGAGTGTAAACCTGCAAAGAGTGACTATCTAGTTTACTGATTATATGGAAGACACTCTGAGAGCCTTTGATAAATCAATACATAAATAAAGGACTCTGCTGCCATAACAAATGGTGATGGTCACTGCCTTTGACAGTTTTAAAGGAAGAGCCATCAGATTCATGGAGGAAGACAGGGCCATCAATAGTGATGAGTCATTATAGCTAAATGACACCTCCATGTCCAGAGGCAGTCTAATGAAGAGTAAAAGAATTGGTGTGCAGAAGCATGTACATATAGCCCTTTCCTTAGGAGCCAACAACGTAACTCACCATCTCCCAAACTCTGCATGACAGTTGTCTAAACCCTGAGCTCAGAAACCAAACTTGTACATAGGAAGAATGTCTGAATTACAAAGTAAATCAGCTTAGCTCTCATAAAATCTCTAAGGAATTGCAGGAAGTCAAGATATATCTCTAATACTGATAACCTCTGCCAAACAGAAGCTGAAGCAAACAGAAACAAACCCCTGATTATTGTTCACTACAAACAGCTATACCTCATCACACAAAATCTGCCTCTATAATCTGCCTGTATAATCTCGGCAAGACACTGGCCTAGTTCTTACCAAGGCAGTACACCTGTTTCTGTACCACTCCAAACATTCTATGATGGCTCTCCTATTTAATGACAAATTCCCTATGCATAGAAAACTAGCACAGCATGAAAAAGAGCTCTTCTCTTGGACATCCTTGTCTTCTGTGTGCAGAAAGTCTTTCAGATGGGGAGAGCATTCCAAAGCGTGTGTCTGCATCTCTAGTCTGAAGTGTTATTTGCCCAATCAGAGGGCTACTCAGTTGAATTAGCACTAATTGCCTTTTATATCAGGGGATATGGTGTGTTCCAGGACCATAACCAAGACCTCTGTTTATTTTCTCAACCTGGTCTTTATCTGCAATTGGAAAAAATTATGTTCACCCATACTGCATCTTTGCAAATCTGTGCCTCAAAAGCGGCCCATCTTATGTGTACGGCTTTGTGAATTTTGTGATTTGGCACATTATATAATAATTCAGCATATTGTGAGAAGTTCAGCTTCTAAGATAGAGTTTCAACAGGCCCATGCTGGCATAAGTATTGAAAATGAGCTGGTTTCCCATTGTTGTCGTTACATACCACTCTCTGGCTGGTCATCTGGGGACCCCAGAAGGTGTGGGTCCATGGACTCCAGTCCTGAGATCCAGCCCTACCTCCATCATTCTTAGCATGCCATGCAGTTGGGAAGATGCTAGTTAATTGAGTGCATGGCAATCAGTCCAGTAAATAGTACAGAACTGTTAGAACATTTACACCTCATCTAGACTCCAGGGTACAGCCTGGTGATGGGGCCCACTACAGGTGGCACCTTTTCCCCAGCATCAAATACCCACTGAGAAAGCCACCGTGGCATACCGTAGCATAAAGTATATGGTGCTCTTGCTAGGTCATCTGGGTTGTCCTTCTATTTGCTTTTTAAAAAATAATACTGCTGTTTGTCCACTTTCTTTCCAAGCCTTGACATCTAGAGCTTTTCTACATAAGGCTATCAACCCATCCTGTCTTCTTTCAGTTTCATTTCAGAACTAAGATCTACATAAAGGAGTAAAAGTATGCAAAAATTTCAATTCAACCCTAATTTTCTTCCTGATCAATTCATTCAGCTTGGGAGATTGCTATGCCTTACCTTTAATTGGACCCCCTTCACCCTGCCCCCTTCCTCAGTTGCTACATCAAACCTATTGCTAAAGTGAGATCTGTTCAGCATTCACCAGTTACTATTTTCCAGCACACAAATTGTGCCTAAAAATGTATTGTGCAAGTATTGATTGTGACTAATTAGGTCTGTGAAAGACAGAACTGCTGACATGGCCACACATGTGACTTAGTCAAAGTTATTTAAACTCAGCTGTAAATTAAGGACACCACCTATTTAAACTGCTTAAAGTTATACTGCACATTAAATCCACACCCACTATTGAAATGTTCATTTAAAAACTGTCTTGAATCAGTATTCATCCTCATAACTTATCTCAGAAAATCCTGGGGGCTCTGGTGTCCAAAGATTGCCTGGCATTCTTTTTATTTAGAGAGCTCCAGAGCATCATACCCAGAGCTCCTTTGGTTGAAAGCTAGGAGACAAACAATCCAGAGGCATCCACATAAAAGAGAGTGTTGCATTTGACCGATGCTGCATGCAGCTGTGCAATCTCTTTATGAGCATTGCCTGTCTTGCAGCACAGGTTAGGTATCTACACGTTGCATTGCCTCTATGCCTGTTCTTGGGAACAAATCTATTCCCATTTCTTCCCTCCCTCTGCTTTGTTATCCTTGCCTTTTTTCAAGGAAGGAGCCATAACTTCAGTAGTACAGTGCATGCTTTGAATGCAGGCTGCCTGAGGTTACTGGCACCCCTTATTAAAGGGATCCGATATCAAGCACCTTTGCCTGAAATGCTCGAGAGTCACTGCCAGTGAGATTATTGACATTCAGAGACCAATGATCTGACTTGGGATGAATGACAGCTTTCTGTGTCTCTCCCCACACATTGTACCATCACATCAAAATGATCCTTGGGGTAGGAACCTAACATTTGCTTCTGCTGCTTTGTAACTGTTATGTAAAACAAATAATGAACACTGTGCTTGCACTCTACTCCTTTCACTTCTCACACACTGAAGGCTGACAGGTGGATTTCCTACATGCTGGCAAAGAGCGTGATGGAATCCACTCCCATTTCATGTATAAAAGCTGGCTGGACTATCAGTTGAATTTTTCATCAACACTGACAATGAGACTGCATCCTCCTCCACACCTATAGGAAACAGGGTACCTTAAGGGTTGCAGAGAAGTTCCCTCCTACTGAGTCTTGCTAATACCTCCCAGCATCTGCTGTCTGAGGCAGCAGCCTCATTTTGCCTAATGGAGAGGCTGGTCCTGTTGGGATCGAGCACCAGGTGTGGCATAAGTAGCACAGTAGTTCCACAAGCAGAAGAGAATGTGCAGGACAGTTTAGCAGGCCTGAAAGTGGTTTCCAGGGTAATCATGTACTCCAGCCAAACTAGATGATACATGCAGATGTCTATAACTTCCTTCTGCCTTTTTTTTTTTTTTTTTTGAAAAGCAACTTCGAGGTGCTGTGAAGCTGAATGTACTAGCAGAGGCACTTAACACATTCTTTATAAGACATTTTTATTCAAAGATCTGGTTCACACATAAAACTAAAAAAAATCAGTTAACCCATGGCTTATCGCCTTACCCACAGTTTGTCTAGCAAAAAAATACATGAGCTTTATTTTGTCAGTCTCTGCAATTGTTTATTTCCCTCCTCTTTTGCCATTTTCTCCCTATATTTCAAATGCCTTTCTAGTCCTGGATTACTGTATGCAGAATAGTTGGAGTGTGTTGTTTTAGTCAGTCACCTTGCCTACTTTTGTAGCCTGGCAAAACAATCCACAGTTCTGGGTTTGCACACCATGACAGCCCATGGTTTCAACAATCCAGAATTCAAAGCTGAACAACCAACCATGCGCTCTCTTTCCAGATTGTTCATGGTTAACAAGCTATGGTTGGTTAGCATGGCTGCATTCTCACATCACAGTGACCCAGGGATTAAATAAACCATGGGTCAGCATTGTGGATGAACCGGGTCAGCATTAGTCTCTCAAGCTTCCTTTTCTACTTTGGGAGAAAGAAGCAGATGGGGACAGTTTTAATGAGAAACTGTCTAGTGAAGACAAAAGTTTACACTTCCCTTCTTCTCCTAATATTCCATCATTCCCACTGACAGTGCCCCAAGAGGCTGCTTTCATTTGTAAAAAGCTGAGAAAAATATGCATCTGTGTGCAGTGCCTGTATGCTTCTCTTTCATTATACTTCTCTTGCACCTCACACCAAAAAAACAACAAAACCTCCAGTATTGCATATCCAGGCACCGAAGCATCTTCCTGGAACACTCTCTTGTTTGCAGGGCAGCCCAAAATGTCTTGCTACCTGAGGTGAAAAAGCAAATGAGGCCCTTCTGCCACACTCACAGGAAGCTCAAAGAAAACCATTCCCAAGTTATTTTGGCCTCTGAGGCAGAAAATCCCACATGTGGCACTCCCTAGTAGCAAAAAAATGTAGTAGTAGTAGTAATAATAATACATTAAACAACAATTTGCTTGCTTCATGAAACCCCAAATCATCAGCCTGAGATGGCCTTACTGTTCCCAATGGTAAGGATGGACATGCGTGTTTGGTGAGCTTAGTCAGCAAACTAGGTATTAGAAACAGGAAATTTGGTGCAATAAAAGGAGGGGGGCAAGAGAAGCAGACCTCCCAAATCCTCCCCCACACCTGCCTGCACGCACAGAAAAATACAGAGAAAGGGTGGGAAAGCGCATGCATTTGTTTTAAACAAAAGCGTGGAGGGGAAAAATTGGTAGTACTGACCTTAAAGCTCCAGTAGTTGGGTTGCTAACAAATAAAAAACAAAACAAAACAAAAATAAAAAACAGAACAAAAAATACCATTAAGATTCTGTTTTGAGAAAACAGTTGACTTTAAACTGTGTGAAAAATTATGGTTTTCAGTTGTTTGTTTAAAGTCCCCTCCCAATGGTTTTTTTTTTTTTTTTTTAAAAACAAAAGCAATGGATTTGCTAATAGGAACAGCAGGTGGGCATTACACATGATGTCTTTTAAAGAAGTTGACACAGTAAGACCTCATTGCAAGGAAGGAAAAAAATAAAAAGAAAACATAAAGGTGTCCAGGGTCTTATAGGGAAGCACTGAGGGTAATTTGCATACCAATGAATAAATTATATCTCTTCATCCTGGGATGGGGGCATAAGAATTTGCTCCTTGAAAATATCATGCAAATTAGAAACCTTGATAATTATTTGGTTATTTTGAGTAATTTATTCTACTACCTAAAGTCTGACTCTTCAGAGACACTGGTTTCCATCCTGAATTCTGTATCATCATGAGGACAAAATCATCTCCCTGTATCAATACAGGGTTAAGCCTCAATAATCAGAACAGGATTTCAAACAGGATTAAGAGCAGATTAGAGGGAAATCAATAATGCTTAGGTTACTCACTTAAGTCCCACTGATTTCAATGAGTCTACTCAAAGTATAACTAAAGTTTCTGAGTACTAGAGACCAAGAGTCTATGTGGAGCTATTTCATCTATTCTTCTATGAAGTATAATCCAAAGCATGGTTAGAAAAAATAAGGTGGACAGCTCATAGCATGATCCAACCAGCAGTACAAACATACGATTACACCCTGAATGGCTTTTCTGGGAAGAGAAAAAGACAGAAGCAGCAGTGGGGAAACACAGGAGGATTACAAATGGAAGATGACATTCTCTGGATTTCCTTAAAAAGTCATGTATGAGGCATGGCAATTTCAGGATAAATATGCCTTGTCTGGAACAGACCCACTATCAACAAGAATGTTGTTCCTGGTCTCGACGATCTTATGAGGACCGCCTTTGGAAATCCATCATACTATTATTCTTACATTGCAATCATATCTCCCCCTTTTCCCACTTGCAAGGAACCCAAGGCAGCTTACACTGTCCTCCTCTGCTCCATTTTACCCTTGGAACAACCACCCTATGACATAGGTTAGGCTGAGAGTGAGTGACAGGCCCAAAATCCCCCAGTGAGCTTCATGGCCACAAGGGGACTATATCTTGGGTCTCCCAGATCCCAGGACAATGCTCCAACTACTATGCCATGCTGGCTCTCAGTTCAACTGTTAAGCACATGGCCAAATTATTTCACCTTGGTCATCCTGATACGTTAAAAAAGGTAGTCTCCTCTGGAGTGTGGGGATGAGGGCAGATAGTGGCAATGATGCTGCCATGAGCAACTGAGACAGAAACCAGCTCTTGGCCTGCACAATAATGGCACTCCAGAAGGCTCCTTGCTGGAATGGTGGGCCAGTGTACAGCAGAAGGGGAAAGTCTTGCTGATTTTTGAACAAATAAAATGTAGTAGCAATCATGAGTTCAATCCAAACTTTGTCATGCTTAGAGCTGACTAGTCCACCCTTCCCCAACCTGGCTTCAGTGCTTTTTCAACTCCTCTCAGTCCCAGCCAGCATTATCATTGGTCAGGAATACTGGGATTCTTCAACATCTGGAGGGAAGGCTGGGGTAGACCCACTGAACTGAACAATTAAGTCCCACTGGTTTCACTGGGTCTCCTTTAGACTGGACAAAAGCTAGATCTAAGCATTTCTATAGGATTTCAAAGTGTACTTCTAACAAGATAATCCTCAAATAACAGTGTGAGTCTTTCCTATGATCCCTGTGCTACAGATGGGATGTTAAGGCTGAGAGATATAAGGTTTGCCTGTGGCCATCTCCTAAGACTGTGGATTAGGAGGCATTTCAAATGGGGGACATGCAGCTTGGCTCAGACACACAGGTTGCAGGAGTGGCGAGGACAAAACCATGTAGGAAAATGGGGTGTCTGGAGGGAGACTATGAGGCACAATCTAGTTAACAATGAGCCCCAATTTTTACAATGGAGGGAAGTCATCACTTTTAAAATACTTCCTCCCTCTCAGGAAACTTAACAGTGGCTAGATGGTGCCAGTATATATAAAGCCCCTGGACATGGTAAAGAACGGAGTTGTACCACTGATCACTAATGACATCTCAGTCAGCAGGAGCCTGTGACCCTGCACAGCCTCATTCCGCACAGCAATCACAATAGCAGTGGCTGAACTTTGGGAGATAGTATTTCCCTTCCTACAGTAAAAGAACAGTTGAAAACTACATATTGCTTCAACAGCAACATAAGCAGGGGGCAGGGAGAGAAAGTTGCCTGAACGATGTTTAACAATGCATATTACAACTTCAAGGGGAAAAAATCTATTTTCTTTTCCTTCAAGAGCGATTGTGGGCAAAATGTTTAACAATTTTTCGTTAAATTCTGGTTTGCCTTCAGGAACAAAATTATTTGTTCTATTGGGCTGGCTCATATTCACAGGTCACCAGTTGGTCTTCCACAGTTTAGTGCCTGCACTGAAATAAAGATATTCCTTCCTTTTCAGAGTACATGACACTTACTGAATTCCGTATGAAAAAAGACCAAAATTTATATATTGTCAGAAGGGAGCAACTTGGAACATGCTGTTCTTTATGTGGAATGCTGGCCTTCAGGGACCTTTCTACACAAGCTCATTTATCATGGGATTGACATTCTCTATTCATAGTTGTTTAAAGGTTTCTTAGATGGTATCATGATCTTCTAGTTTCATTTCTAACAACCACTTTCTGCAACCTATTTTAGAGCAAAGGAACTATCATGTAAGTGAAAGAATGCACGTTTTGTTTGCATATTTGTGCTGTGTCTATACCACAATGCCACTTAGAGGTTATGTAGAGGAAAAGCAGGAAAGAAAATGCCCTTTCTGTAATGCTGAGATTTCAGTTCTGTGACAAAACTAAAAGTAGATACAACAGGACTAACAAAAGTTGTGTAGAAAACCTCAAAGTCTTACACAAAGCTGCACATTTGAGATAACTGATTTTACTGCTTTTTCACGCTAGAGGAGAAACACAGGATTAGAGGCTCTGAGTTTGTAGGACTTGAAGGCCTGCACTGATTTCTAGTGTTGCTTTGCCAGCATTGGTTCCTAATTAATACATTATTTTTCAACCTACATATTTGTAAAAGAAAAACAAAATATTAAAAAGGGTAAGGGAGAGGAACCACAAATCTCTGGTGACCTGAAAAAATAAACTGATTCAAGTAAAACTCAGAACCTTCTGTGTTTTAAATGCCAGTCGCCCCAAAAACAGGGTTCATACTGCATCTTTTATCTGTGCTTCTTGAGTTACAGGACCCCAACAGCTACTCCGACGTCTGCAGAGAATAGCAGGGTCAGGCTGCAATCCTATGCACCCTTAATGGGGGCAATCCTCACTGAAATCACAGCATTTTAATTCTGAGTAAACATGGTGTGGAGAAAGTAAAGAGGGAGGGATTTCCTCCCCCCCCCCCCATAACGCTAGAAGCTGATTGGTGGGAGGTTTGGGACAGAGAAAAGGAAGCACTTCTCCACACAAGGTATGGATAAACTATTAAATTTCTTGCCATGGGAAGGGAGATTGGGCAGATTCATGGAAGAGGAGGCAATCAGTGGCAACTAGCCTTGCCGGGTATGTGCTCCCTTCTTTACCAGATGCCTGTATGCACCAGTTGCTGAGGTGCTTGGGCAGGTGGAGGTCTTGCATCCATCCTGCTTGAGAACAGCTGGTTTGCCACCATGTGTGCAGAGTGCTGTATTAGATGGATCTTTGATCTGATTCAGCATGGCTTTTCTTAGGTTTGCCCTGATGCACATCTAAATGCAGGAAACAGGAGATGGTTAGCTATACATGATGTCATCAAAGCCCTCGTAAATGTTGAATTTCTTCCAGAAAAAGTGCTGTGCAACAATTATTCTTCCTCTTGCATTTACAAGAGCAACGTATCATACCTGTTTGCCTTAACACACTAGCTTTCCCCTGGCAGAGGGGTTAATGATTTGGGAGTTTTCATAGTGTCTTTCATTCTGTAAATGATGACCTGAACTTCCTGCTACTTCTTAAATAGTGCCAAAATGTTTTGCCTTGAAGGACAAATATGGAACATGCTGGGGAATGGTTAACTCTCTTTCCCACTTCCAACCCCCCCCCCCACGCTTCTGCTGGTTGCTATTGGCCTTTAAAAACACACACACTCACACACGCAGAGTTCATGACTGCAGATCTCTGATAGCATTGCACCTAGTTGCACCTCACAACCTGAAGGAGCACTTACATCCATATATGCCCGCCTGCCCCTTGAGATCTGCGGGAGAGGCCCTTCTCCGGGAACCCTCCGTGAAGGAAATTAGGAGGGTGAGTACTTGGAGGAGGGCTTTCTCTGCAGTGGCGCCCAATCTATGGAATGCGCTCCCCAGAGAGGTCCGCCTGGCGCCGTCGTTATTTGTTTTTCGGCGCCAGGCGAAGACCTTTTTATTCAAATGTCATTTTAATTGTTAATAGTATTTATTCATTTTATTCTTTGGTCAGGGTGACTTAATTTATACTGTTAATTTATATTATTCTATGGAAGTTTATTTATGGATGTGAGCCGCCCCGAGGCTTCGGCGAATGAGGCGGCATAGAAGTCTCCTAAATAAATAAGTAAATAAATAAATAAACCAGGATCCATAGCTTTGAGTAAGGAATATGGTCCCACATTGAGCAGGATCAAAAAAGCAAATCATGGATAACATATTGTTAGCACAAACAGAACATGTACCTCTAGACTATCTTGAGAAATGTATTGCTAAATAGCTTCTTGCATATGCCCATGGACTTGTTTCTTCATGTTTGTATTCTTTGGCTTGTGCCATATGGTGCTGTCAGTGGAGGGTGTTTCACTGCATACAGATAAATCACTGGAGAAGATAGCAGTTTATTTGC